AGCTCTGATTTTTATATATCATAGTTGTATGACATTTTGAAAAGAAAGTGTTTTTTAGGAATATTGCGATGCCCGCCAGGAATACTCTAAACCTGAAGTTCGCGAACATCTTAAAAGTAGTTACGAGATGGCCTTGAACTTAGTGCGTGAAGATCTGCGTTTGATTTTGTAGAAATGCTCAGACTGGGTCTGAAGCAAATATTCAGTAAAGTATTTGAGTATTATTTTATGTATTATAAAGATGGGATTGTTAGTAAACATTTCTTTTACTTATACTTAAGATTTTTGTCATCAAGTTCTTTCGACTGGCATTCGTTTCAGCTTTTCTTGCCCTGACGTGTTTCTAATGAGTGCTCCGAGTTGTTCGTGGAAGAATTTCTGATTTGATTTTCAGGCATTGTGGCTCTCTCGCGCTCTAAGCGATGTTAAAGCTTTTAGTGCGACGTTTTAGCCGCATTGCGAATGGCTTGCCGCAGTGGGCAGACGTCATGGGCAGCCGTCAATTCTCTGCCGATTCAGCGACGTCGAAAATGTTTGGTGATGATGTGCCCTTTGAGGACCCGGATATCGTGCAGTGGGAGAGCAGCCTGTCAAAGCAGATGCAGGAAGAATTCAGTGTGATTAAGTCAGATTACTTGATCTACCGGTATGCTGACTCTCAGGTACCAAAGCATCTAAGGGTAGTGGACTGCGAGAAGCTGCTTAACATGAACAAGGCGGATCGCGTTAAGTATTTGACCTATTTGTTTCGCAACGAGGTGTCAGACGAAAACCACAAGGCCAAGCAAATCGAGAGACAGCAGGAAATCATCAAGCATCGCGAGGAGTTGCGACGCATGCGTGAAGAGACGAAGCACATTTTTTACGGCATCGGAGGCTGTTTCATGATGCGACGAATCACCGACTCCTTGATTAGCAGGTAAAAATTTATGTGATTATAAAGGGGTCATTTATTGGTGGCATTTATTATTTAGCCGTTACTGAGTCCTTGAAGTGACAGAGCCATGAATTCGTAGTTTCT